CCATAAATGTGACTCGGGATGATGTCGAGGATGGACTCTACACGTGAGAAACAAGTAAAAGGACAACATTAGGAAGAATGCATTTACTATGAAGATTGGTTAGACAAGCTTTTCTTATTTCGTTTTCGAGAGTTTTGTACACACGCACACATATATATGGAAACATGCTAAGAAGATCGAAGGGAGAATGAGCTACGTGTGTATAGATTTTGCATGAATTAGTATAATCCATCGGGTCGATCAAGTAAAAAGTTCAACTTTTCAAAACTAATATTTAAAATATAACTCAAAAAGTCCATCTCGTAATATCCATGACAACTTTCTATATTAAGAAATGATAGAATTTTGTAAAATAGATTCTTTACTTCAATTATATTGATTGGATAACTGAATAATTTGTTCTCGAGGCTCCAACATTAATCCTCTTCTACTTGCTGATGCGAGGAAGTTGTGATGAAACAATGTAATGTGTATGGAGGAAAATGATGACAATATACAAAATTGTTTCCTCAATACTTAATTATCTTATTTCCATTTTGAAGAAGGAAATGCTTTTTCATTTATTTCAAAATTTGTTAAATTATTTTTCTTGGTTGTAAAGGTAACAGGGATAGTAATTATATTTGAATACCCAAGTGGTAATTTACAAATGGGCAATTCAAGAAAATAATTGGTCAACCTTATCCTACAATTGTGCATTTATTTAGCCCCCATTTGACACCCATTTTTTCTTTTTCTCATTCTCATTCTCATTCTCATTTTTCTTCTCTTTCTTCATTTCNCTCATTCTCATTTTTTTCCTCTTTCTTTATTTCAACCACACATTCAATCCATAAGATAATACTACACATAAACCCAAAAATTCTCATTACTTTTTAACCATACATTCTTCCATCAATCACTATTCCAGAATTTCTTTTTTGTCAAAAATGGGTGTCAAACGGGGGCTTAGTGAAGCTATGTCCAACTGAAAAGGCTAAGAGTGCGTTTGATTATCAATATTTTTCATGAAAAATATATATTTTTACCTAATTTTTTATTTTTGTAATGTTTGATTGATAATTTTTTTCCCTGGAAAATAATTTCTGTAGAGAGACATAGTTTTTATTTTCCAGGTAATTCACTCTCTCATCCATCCATCAATAAAAAGTAGATAAATATAGCCCCCCGGGGCACATCCAAGTTGGCAAAGGATGGACACTGCTGGGCTTGCAACCTCAGGGTGGGGAGTTCGATTTCTGGATGGAGAAGTTGGTGATGTAATATCCATGGAGGAAGGCTCCCTTGGGGCCAGAAGTATAAAGGGTGCACAGACCCTGGTCAACATGGAGGAAGGCTCCCTTGGGGCCAGGAGTATAAAGGGTACACAGACCCTGGTCAATTTGGGCATATCCCGCGATTAACCTCCACCCATCACTGAGGGGCCGGGGATGGGTGGTCCAGGACATAGTCTAGTGTAAGTTAGGATACCTGGATATCAAAAAAAAAAAAGTAGAAAAATATAATATTTTCTATATTGAAAACTAAATTAATCAAATATATTTAATTAATTTTCTTTCCATATAAGTTTCATACTTGCAATTAAAAGCACCCTAATTGAATTTCTATTTGAGCAACAAAAATGGTCCTTGTTTGGTTTAGCTAAAAATAAAAATTTTAATTGATGCTGATAAAAATAAATGAAATGTATGATTAAAAAATTAATAAAGTTGTAAGTCCTGTGAAACCTGTCATTTAAAATGAATTGCGAAAAAGTGAATACAAGAAAATGGGGGTCAAAAAGAATGCTTATTTTCATCTCATAATAGTCTCTAACTTTGTAGTGCACTCCAATGGACAATAAACCACAGAGGACATCAATTATGAACAAATGCTTAAGTTAAACACGTAGGTCGAATGATTCAACACGATCTCACAAAGAATTCTTTGTATGTAACTTTTATTTGTGGGATCTCTTCATTATCTCTAAACTTCGTTGATTGGACTGCATGCAAAAACGGCAAAACTACACAAGGATCCGCAATGCTCAAATACTTAAACATTAAAAGATTTATTCGACATGACATTTGAGTAAAAAATAGACGAGTCGAAGCCTTATTGCTTTAGAAATATTTATCTCAACTTCCGTATTGCGTATGGAATAAATTATGCAATGCATCCGAGTGATAAATTAAATAAGGGAAAATTTCATTTCTAAGATGTTAAGTATGTGCCATTTCAAAACTAAGAAAACGAGTTTCATATTTCAAAAATCAAATTTTTTTAAAATTTTTATTTATGAATTAATAAATTATTAAATAAATTTATTTAATATTTAATTATAATATAATATAATTAACACACCCCTCACAAATCCCACTACATTCTAGCTTTATATTTTACTTTTCATATTTCTGCTAAACATTAATAACATAACTTGTATTGTCGGTTCATAATTTCATTATGGGTATTGTTCGAGTTTGAATTCGATTATAGTAATTACATGGACTTGAATAATTTCATTAATTTGAGAATCGAAATATTTTCGGACCAATGTTGTGACCTAATCTCTAAATTCACGAAGTTGACCAAATTAAACGGTCCGAAAAATGAATGGTAAGATTTTTCCATCCGGCATTTTCCAATTCCAGCCTTCCGACGCCGCTGGAATCGGGTCTCGAAACAGGCGGTGAAATGAAAGGCTGCCCATCCATGTGGCAAGAGGTGGTGTTGCTCCTCTCCATGCAACCGTTTGGCTATTGCTTCACTTTCTTAATTGACAATAGATATTAATTTATTTTATTGAACAGACAGTGTAATATTACACACGATTCTTTTTGTTTGAAATTTTTAGGTCCATTGACAAGGTTTTGAAAAGTCAAAAGCTATTTTTGAAACTAAGGAGTTATTTTTTTTTTTAACTTCTTTGGATAATTTTCTGAAAATATTTTGTCTGACTAAAAATAATTTTAAAGAAAAGTGGTCTAATAGTCCTTTTGAGGGTATTTTTATTTTTTCTTCTTATAGAAGAACTTTATGAAGAAGTTAATTTAGGTCGGATTCTTCTTAAAGCTTTTCGAGTAAGATAAAATGCTTTCTGAAAATTATTCAAACAGGATCAAAAGCAATTTCTTAATATCAAATCAACTTTTTATTTTTTAAAAGCGTTGTCAAACGAGCCCTAAGGCACCTTCAAGAAGATTTTCTAAAAGCAGCATTAGCAAAAACATAAAATCATGTCAAATTGGTCCTTAATTTCCTATCAACCGCAAATGGAAAAAAGAAATCCTTATTATGTATTGGATTAAACCACTTGTACACATAAATTGTACACCTTGATTGACACTTCCTATGCGTCAAAAATTCGACATTTGATTAAAAAATGTGTTGTCAAGATCAATGTATTACAATCTGCCAACTCACATTGTAAACCAATATGTCAACTTTTATGTATACGTAGCATGATGCATATATATTTAGTTGAACTTGTAGGGAATTCCATTTTCCCTCGAGGGCAAATAAGTCCAAGAAAATAAAAACAAGCGTTGATATCCATGTGAGTATATTCCTTGTCAGGTGATTCTCCACCCCCACCCCCACAAACAACGTATAGCATATGCATATATAGATCAATTTATCTCACACTTGTCTGAATAAATACACACACAGAGACAAAAAAGAAAATAAAATAACAAATTCAAATCTCTGCAAAAGACCTCCCATATATATATAAAAAAAAGGATGAGCTGCAACATTGACAGCCCCCACCTGTCCCGTCCTGAGCCTTGGTGAATGAAATAAATCGCAGATTATGCCTCCAAGAGTACAGGGTGGAAAGTACACTTTCATTAAAGACCTCCCATACATATACATTGAATGTAGAATTGTTACATTGTTATTGAGATCTCTCAAGAATTTCGGCTTCCACTTCTTGAACCTTTTATTGCAGCAAAAACTATTAAAGATTTCTACCCAATGTCTACATTGATGCAAGGAGCTTCAAGAATCCAATCATGAATTAATTATTTAACCACCTTAGGATCGTCAAAAGTTTCAAGGTAATTAATTATGTATATTGATTATATGTTTTCTTCTTCTTTTATTAGTATTACTTTTTCTTAATTCAGAGAATTGATCTTGAGCAGTTTTTGATTGAAGAATGTGCCTTCTAATTTAGTTTTGAAAATCATACTCTCTATGCGACCACTTTTTCTTCATAAATAAGTTCTCGTGCCATCAAAATCCTTCCTGCCGGAGAGACGTGATTATTAATTAATGGATTTAATTTTTACTTCCGGTGGAATAAGACGATTCATTTAGCGCAGAGAATTAGAGCACGTGTTGCCGTGTTGGTAATTCTAAGAACTTATTTATTTATTTTAATTTCTTTATATATATGTTAAAGACATTGTCTTGCTAAGACATTGTTCATTTAAGAGAGAGCGAAGGAGAAACAAAGATTCAACGGCGGAATTTGACACAGAAACAAAAACGGCAATCGCATTAGAGAATGCGATTGCCCACTATATGCTCAAATGTGAAACCATCTTTCCACATGAAAGTCGAAAAATCATGATCGAAATGGCAAATCGTAAGCTATGAAATTTGAGTACGATTGTAAGGTTAATGATTAAACTTACATAAAGAAATGTGTTTCAAAACGATTAACATAGCAAGCGTTCAATCACAGCACAACCATACACACAAGTTAGGTATATATAAGTTGTGGGCTAGAATCAAACCCATAGTTAATTTTAATCAGAGGATAGAAATCATTAATTAACACACAATACGATGATTCCGAGAAATGTAAAGACTTTTCATTTATGAGAAAAAGTTGAATTTAGAAAGAGTGTTACTATCTCCAACCACCAAGTTGATTTCCTGTTGTCGGGAGACAAAATTAGGTTTCACTTTTGTTATTTCTTGTGTGCAACAATAACAAGCTGTTCATAAAGAGACTGACTTATTTTTCACTAAGGTACTACACTACACCACACCTGTGAGAAACATCTGCAAACATGGCATGCACTTTGTCATCCATAACGAGCTCTCAAATGACGAATGCCACCAACAACGTGCTTCAAGAAGGCAGGCTTCGTCGGTCACTTTCGAGTATTGATTTGTGTCAGAGAATGGGAATGCGAAGATCGTACTCAGAGAACCACCTCTGTCGTTATAAAAATCGTATGACAGAACCGAAGTTACAGAACAGCCGTTCGATGGGCTTCTTCAATATCTCGTTGTCAGATACTCTTCGATCATTTTTGTTTGATCCAGAAACAAACAGAGAGATAAATATGGAGCAGAACCTTATAGAAGTAGGTGACGATGGAGAGATGGACGTGGAGAAGAAGAGAGTGAATTGGGTCGAAAAACTTCTAGAAATCCGAAATAACTGGAAAGAGAAACAACCGAAGGATGAAGGAAACGTTGACCAAGAAAATGAGAGAGATTGTGATGTTGATGGTGGTTGTGAAGCGGATTATGGAGACGATGAAGTGGATATGGACATTGATAGAGACACATTCTCAGCATTGTTGAAGCATGTATCCTGGTCAGATACTAAGCTATTTTCTCAGCTGGCCTTCCTGTCTAACAGGGCGTATGTGATTCCGGATATCAAGGTATGTTTATTGACTGCATCATATGTGCACTTACAGAGCACTGAACACAACTAGACAATACCATAGACAGGATTTTACCTATTTTTTTTCTTTTTTAATATTGTCTAGTCTTGTTTGATCCCCTTACCAAACATGACATAAATGTTTGGCTACCTAAAATTCCTTATCTACAATAGAATTGACAAGCATTTTGATAAAAAAGAATTCACCTGTATAACACAAAGAACTGAAGAAGCATGCCTGAAAGGATATCTCCCCTTTCTAATCTTTCATCTTCGTCCCCTTCTGTTCGTCCAAAATAGTGCATATTGCCCGTCGGCAACTAGGCTTTGTTGTAAATTTATGCCATCCGTTTCTTTCAGTTTCGGGAGCATCAGGATAGGTCATCAGCAAACATTCCCCAGTCGCAATCTGAATTTGCACTCTACACCTTAAAGAAACAAGATCTGCAGTCATGTCCTTCGGGCAGCACTGTAGTCCCCGTAAGGGAATTGCTGTCCCACCCTTGTATTTTTCATAGAAACATGAACCCCCACCGACAACTCACACATGGGGGAGGGAAATTTCTTTTACTTTTTTATTGCGGTACCCACTTCATGTGAGAGGGTGTAGGGGTGAACCCCTACTTCTGTACAAAGGGAAAAATCATTTTTCATAAACAACTATATTATGAGTTTGTTTGGGAGGGATTAAAATCAGATTAAAATTGAAAATATAGTCGTTGGAGTTGACTTTTATTAGACGAGTGGGACCCTTTAACGGTTATATTTTCAATTTTAATTGAATTTTAATCCTTCCCAAACAAGCTCTATATTAGAACAATGTAATGAAAATCTAGAACAGTTAAGGTTGTTACACAACAATAATGTCAAAGGAAATCTCAACTAGATGAAGAAAATAAAGGACATTCCTCAAAAAAGAACTTATATAATAGAAAACATTAAAAATAGCAGCAGCAAAATAATAATCTTTCAAGCCCTCTAATTTTTATTTTATTTTGTTTCATCTCCTTCTTTTAGAGAACTATAATCCAGAAAGAGTTTATACTATGCTTTGAGAAGTTAATACCTGAACCTAGTTGAATCACTTACCATTAGATAAAGTAAATTAACTTTCTTTCAAAAAATACAGACCAGGGATTTAACGAGATATTGTGGCTTAGAATTCGTAGCATCCTCCCTGGAGAAGAAGGCAGAAACAGCAGCTATCAGAGTCAAAATTGAGCAGGATTTCACTAGTGTACCTGTAGCAACACCAGCAATTACTGATCCTCTTTCAGAAAAAAAGGAAAATTCTCAACAAAGACGCTACACTCATTCATCTGCTGCTTATGAAATTGCAGTGGCAGCTGCATCTCATCTCCAATCTCGTGCTAAGGACCTGATATCCTTGGGGTTTGAATCCCAACTTACAGTTGATGTTTCTTTAGGGGGAAGAGATGAGTACCAAGAAATGGAGGAAGAGAGTGTGATCCAACAAATTCACAAATCAGATATGGTTGCATGTGTAGCAGCTTCAACAATGACAGCAGTTGTTGCCGGAGATGAGAAGCAAAAACAAGAGGCAGCAAGAGATCTTCAGTCACTTCATTCCTCTCCTTGTGAGTGGTTTGTTTGTGATGATTCGAAGATATACACACGCTGTTTTGTTATCCAGGTAAGGACTGTACTATCCAAGATTGCATTCACACCGACTTTGAATAGAAATATAGACTGATGGAAATATAGTAGAAATAATGTGAAAAAATGAGATTCAAAAAGACTACCTGTGATGTGGTCATAGAACTATACAACATTACTTTAAAATTCAAGAGAGAACTAAGTTGAGAGTGTTGCCCGTAGGCCGTAGCTTGACAAGCTAGTTGATGATGAATTGCAGGGATCGGACTCGTTGGCATCATGGCAGGCAAATCTCTTTTTTGAACCCACCAAATTTGAGGTGAGACTTCTCAATTTTCCTCCAAATAGTTAAGAGATCTATGAGGAAAGAGAAGTAGAATCATTCATAGTATTTCCATTGTTAACAGGGAACAGATGTTCCAGTTCATAGAGGAATTTATGAAGCTGCAAAGGGAATATATGAGCAATTCAAGCCAGAAATAATGCAACATTTGAATAAATTTGGAGAAAGAGCAAAGCTTCAGTTTACTGGCCATTCTCTAGGGGGAAGTCTTGCTCTTCTAGTCAACTTGATTCTACTAACAAGAAAGGTAGTTAAGCCATCTGCTCTTCTACCAGTTGTCACTTTTGGGTCACCATTTGTCTTCTGTGACGGTCAGAAAGTCCTCAATAAGTTGGGCTTGGATGAAAACTATGTTTACTCTGTGATGATGCACAGAGATATAGTCCCAAGAGCATTCTCCTGCACCTACCCTGATTATGCGGCTCAAGTCTTGAAGCGTCTAAATGGCACCTTTAGGTCCCATCCTTGTCTAAAGAAAAATGTAAGTGCCTTGTCTATTAACTTGCTAGGTTTGGGATAAATGATAAGATGTTGACACGAATACCTGTGCACATCATCAATTGCTATTAACATTTCAAATGTTATCTTTGCCAACATAGCTAACTTTTCCTGCTAAATGTCATAATTCTTTGCAGAAACTATTATATTCTCCTGTCGGGAGAATGTTTATTCTGCAGCCTGATGAGAAGTCATCTCCTCCTCATCCTTTACTTCCTCCAGGCAGTGCTTTATACGCCTTGGAAAATACCAACTGCACCCTTACCAAGAGAGCTCTTCGAGCATTCCTAAATTCTCCCCATCCACTGGAAACTCTAAGTGATCCCAAAGCCTATGGTTCTGATGGTACAATCATTAGGGACCATGAATCAAGCAGTTATCTGAAGGCAGTGAATGATGTTATCAGACAACATACAAGGCTTGTCGTCAAAAAAGCAAGAGAACGGAGGAACCAGATGTGGCCATTATTGACCTCACATTCACCACATGCATGGGTCCACAAACCTAGTTTCGAAGATAGGCTGGTGGCGAAGAAAATAATGACTGGCGTCTGAACTTTTTCTTGGCTATCAAGTCCAGGTTTTCGTAAGAGCTTGAGGTCGGATTCAATTTTTCTTGAATCTCATAAATATGATAATGTCCAGATTCTTGTTTATAGTGTATGATTGTATGGATTGTTTGCCAATAATGTTGATGCCAGTTGGGAAATTTTACCCAACAACTTATAAGCAAAATTCAGGAAATGATTCACAAGCTCAAGATCCTATCACAAACAAAGTTCTACAATGCTTAAGATAGTGTGAAGTGCAAAAAAACAAATCACACACGCATGGCCAAGAATGCTACATAACACGGTCCTAAGTACCACAAACTAACAAAGGTAGGTATTAAACCATCATGTCTTAGCTTTAGCTAGATGTCATGAGGAAAATTGTACAATGAATCCCACTTCAGACCTCATGCAAGTAACAATCTTGGTAATCCACCAACAGGGGCGGATCTGTTGGGATCGGTGAAGCCACCACAAGAGATTAATGGCTTCAATGAAGTAACAAAGATCACAAGAACATCCACAAGATTTAAAGTAAAGAGAAATAAAAGAGAACAAGAGAAATTGCAGAGGAATGATGTTTTATTCAATGACAATAATGGAGAGAATTACAAGAACTTAGCAATATGCTTTCTGCAAAATTGAATAGAAGAGACCCATATATATAGGGTACATCCACGACCCCTAAAACCCTAGGAAATATGTCAAGTTATGGAAAGAAATAAAGAAATGTGTAGGAAACAAAAACCCGTTTGGCAGCCCAGGTTTGCTCCATGCCTTACACCACTAATGAGCTGGGTTTCCTTCTTTGAATTGGATTCTAATTTCTTTTCAATTCCAACTCTTTCCAAACACAAATCCTAACCTTAATTTGAGTCACAAACCCAACAATCTCCACCTTGACACAAATTTCG